CCCCAGGGAGCATGGCCATGCCACAGTCCTTTCTCCTCCACTCTTTTCCTGGGATGTTGGACACACATGCACACATGCCCGGCATGATTATCAAGCTGCCCTGTTAGGGACTCAAATTACAGAGTCAGCCAGCCCTGTGGAATCCAGTGCCTTATCCACCCTCCCACCTGCTGGCCCAAGTCATGTCTGTTTTAAGAAGCTTCTGATTCCTTTGGAGCAAGAGGGTGCTTACAGGTTTAGGATCTGGAGGGCGTATGAGGGCAGTGGCTCTGACCTGGGCAGGTACCATGCTTGGTCCTTCCCCGGTAACAGGCCTGAGTAGACCTTCCTTCTCAGGCACTCTAGCTTCAAGACTTCTAGTGTCCAGTGCCCAGGAGCCCAGGCCAGAAAATATTTAGTTTTGTTAATTGGGCTCTATCGATTTTGCAGAGTTATTTCAAGGCACTTATGGGTGATAATTTGATAAAGCATTTGTTTAGTACCTTGAACTTTGCAAAACACTTTTACATTTATTATCTTACCATGAACAGTGAGGTTGGAAGCGCAAGTCTTATTATCATATTGTTAGAGATGAGGCATCTGGGCTTTAGAGCAAGGGTTCCCCGATTCTGGGACATGGATGAGAACTGCTCATTATTATTATTTTGTGATGTAATAATGTCATAGCGTAATAATAATAATGTAATAACATACAGCACACCTGTAATAGTGTATAGTGTAATAACAGTAAACATGAAGTGTGCAATAAACATAATGCACTTGAATCATCCCGAGACGACCCCCCCGCCCTTGTCCGTGCAGTGTCTTCCCTGAAACTGGTCCCTGGTGCTATAAAGATTGGGGTCCACTGGCCCGGAGGGTTGGAGCAACTTGTCTGACGTCTAGGTGAATTGGTGACGGTCTTCCAGCTGCAGTGTGAGCATACATAGTGTGCAGAGCAGCTGTGCTGCTGAGATTGGGGGGAACTACCGACGGCACGTCTGGCCCAGGAGCGCTTCAGGTTCGCCTGCATGGATTGGGTAGTTCGAGGTTTTTGTCCCGTTGGGGACATTGGCCATACTTGGAGATAACTTGGGTATCTGGGCTGGGCTTGTGTTACTGGCATCTAGTGAGTAGGGTCAGGGGTGCTGCCAAGCACCCCACAGTGTACAAGGCAGCCCCCACAAGCAGGAGCCCCAGAAGTGTGTGCTGAGGTCCAGGGACCCCAGTACTGCTGGGGGCACTCCTCGCCTCTCCAGTGAAAACCAGAGCCCGTCTTTCACTTCCACAAGCTTACCCATGTCCTCCTTTTGAGCGTGTAATTCGTGATGAATGGTAGTTGGGACGAGGACTTGAGGTCTTGCGTGATGGCAGACTCCAGGGCCCTCTTCTCGTGTCTGGGTGACTGGGTCCCTGCTGCCTGCAGGAGTGTGGTGTGTACCCCAGGTTGTATGTGGGCACCAGAAGATTCATCAGCTGGCCTTCATTCTGTCCCTGCTTTCCTGATGGCCACAGCCGCTCTGTCCAACCTGAATGGTGCAGTAGGTAGGGTTATTCTCAGCCTCCTCTCTCTGAGTAAGAGAGGGAGACCACAGCTGGGGCTGTGGTTGGGATTCTGGTCTGGGAGAGGAAGGGCAAAGCAGAACCTCTGCCTTTAGGGCTCCTGGGAGCCTTGGAAATGGACCGGAGGGGGCTATGCAGAGAAGGAGCTTTGAGGGCAGACACTGGTCAGTAGTGGACTCCCGGGCAGGAGGTGGCAGAGAGCCCAAGGCACCAGGGTCCTCTGCAGGGCCGGGGTGCCCTGCCTTGAGGATGGGAAAGTGAGGCTGGGCTGTCTATTGTTCTCTGACCTCTCCACGACTTCTCATCACCTTGGAGGGAAACCTGGGCCACAAGACCAACCTTCCTCTTTCCCCTCCTCTGGTTGCTGTCCGTCCAGGCCCTTTTCATGCTCTGCCCTCAGTGTCCCTGTGAGGGGTGAGGTGGGGGAGTGTGGGAAAAAGGCGTCTGTCCCACGGTTGGTCTGTGTCGAGTTCTTGTTAGCTCTTGGTACCTGCAGAGCCTGGACTGTGTGGCTGGGCAGGGCTGGGGCTCCAGATGCTGCCCTGCCTGTAGGGGGCGCCATCCAGTTTCCCCACAGCTGACTTACTGAGTGCAGTAAGTGCACACGCAGGGAGGCTGGGAAGCAAGGTGAGTCAGAGCAGAACTTCTCATGCCGTTCCGCAGCTGCGGGGACACACCCCTCCCCACATGCACTGGTCGTGGGAACTAGCCAAATGACCGAATGGGACTGAGGGCATCTTCCTAAGAACCCTGGAGGACCTCATTTTGGGGAAGTTGGGTGGAAGCAGGCAGGGCCAGCCTTTGCACACCATCCTCCTCTCTGGAAGGAGGGGCCTTTGTCATGGAGGGTGTGGGTTGGTTGGCCTCTGAGCCTGCCTGAGAGCTGTGGGTGGCCCTGTGGCTTACATGCCCAGAGGCCTCAAGGCACACAGAAAGGTGGGTCAGTGTGTCCTGTGAGGGCCCGTACAGGGTAGCAGGTTGAAGGGTTACTTCATTTCCTTGGTTAGGTGGTGGCCACCTGGGTGGGGGGATTTGGGAGAAAACAGCAGTGCATCCCTCTGCAGAGGGTGGTGTTTGGGACAGCCATGGTGGAGGCCCCCAGGCCCCCAGGGAGGCAGAAGATGCTTTCCCAGGGTGTCATATTGCACAGCTGGGGTGGGGGGCTCAGGGGAGATTGGCTCCAGAGGGAGCAAATGGAGGCAGCACAAGTGTGGAAAGCAGGATGGGAGGGGCCTAGTCAACCAGCAGCCAGAAAAAGGGGGAGAGGGGTGGAAATGTGAACGTCCAAAGCCCCCTTACATAAAAAAGTGTGCTTTTCTGTCTCATGCCATCCAGAAAGCTGCTGGTCTCACTGAAACCGTTCATTTCTAACCATCAGGCAAGGTGCGTTCAGAGCGCTCAGGAGAGCACATGCGTTCCCTGGTGAGCAAGCTTTAGGGAGACCCGTCGAGCGTGTCTGTGAACTGGAAGGAATGTTGAAGAATACTCTTTGTGACAGGGCTTTCTTGAAGTCAGAGCCAGGGGATCAGCAAGACTTTTCAGGGCGAGTGCCCATGATGAGGTGGTTATTGAATGAGTGAGGTGTTTGCGTCTCTGAGGTGGACTCCCAAACACAGCATTCCAGGCTCCCATGCCTTTAGCAACCTAGATGGAAATTGCCTTTAATAATTAATAATCAAGGGCATTTGAAGCTCGAGGAAATATTCTACATACATGAAACGTGGACTGTTTATTTGGACTTAGAATATACTCCAGATGGCAGAATTGCATTTTAACAGTTCATTTTCTGGATGTAGTGCGTGCATCAGTTCCTTCACAAAGCGAAGACCCAGTTGACCCAGGCTCCCCTCCCTCTTCTGAGGACCTCCGTTAGCGTGCTCTGAGCTGGCGTGTGCTGGCACTGTGGCTTGCCGTTCAGTGGAAAGTACAGAGAAGTGACAGAACGGGAAGAATAAATGCTCAAGTAAAGCTTGTCCAGGGCCTAGGGAGGGAGGCAGGTGAAGAATTTCCCTGACTTGGACCCAGCAGATGGCATAATGGTTACGTCACTGGACTCCCAGGTAGTCGACTGTGGTTCAAGTCTGGACCTGGTGACTTAAAACTCACACCTGGTGCATGTGCATGTGTGCCCAAAATCCCAAGAGGAGAACAGAGGAGAAGGGATTGCGGCATGGCCGTACCCCTGGGGAGTGATTTTTCGCTTTCTGTCTCTCCAGCAAGTGCACACACCCTATAGCAAAAATCTTTCTCTTTCAAAATCAGAACAAAGCTCTCTCTCAAAAAAGAAAAAGAAAAAATGTTTCCCTGACTTGAGGCAATGGCAGAAAGACAGAACTATCAGGGTAGTAAAGACCCCCCCAGGGCTTGGGAGAGGAGCTGTGCCAGTGTGTCTAGGAGCTAGGGTTCTGTTCCAGCCTGTGGGGCCTCATAGAGTATCAAGAGGGCACGGAGCAGGCTGACCAGGTGCCACCGCCGTGAGGGTCACATATGTCACTAGCCCTGTTTCTTGGTGGCTTGCTGTGGGTCAGGCCTTTTGCAGAGCACCCAGGCAGGAGCTTAGCTAGAGGAAGTCCCTGCCTAAGTCCCTTAGGTCTTAGGGGAGAGTCAGGACTTGCAGGTTGGCCAGGCTCATCCCCAAGCCCACGTGTCCCTGACCACACATGGACTGCCTCCCTCTAGGATGGTGGCGAGAGGCTAGTCACTTTCAAGATATTGAGCTTTGGGATTTGTGTTTTGTAAAGAGGACTCTGGAAGGCTCCAGGCCTGAGACCCTTCAGGGGAGACAGAGGAAGACAGAGGTGGGCACCGTGGCGCGTCAGGCTGACAGGGCACACAGAGACAGAGGAAGACAGAGGTGGGCACCATGGCGCGTCAGGCTGACAGGGCACACACAAGTGTTTGGCCCGGCCTGCCTTTCTGGTAAACTCTCACAGGAGGGAGTTTAAGAGCTTTTGGGGCTGTTGGTGATGTCTGCTTCTACAGAAAGTGAGGACCCAGAAACCACCAGGTGTCACACTCCCAGAACCAAAGCCTTCCCTTTGTTCTCAGGGATGTGGACACGTGGAGCTCAGAGGTCCAGGAGGACAGAGGGAGGGAGGTATCTTGCTCCCTGTCACTCTGTACCCCGACATGTGTGCCCACTGCTGTCCTGCCTCATTTCAGCTCTCAACCCCGCTGTGCCCCTGGTGTACCTGGTGAGTTAGTGTAGAAGTGGCAGCGCCCGTGGGCCACCTTCTGAGAACCCGGCTAGTGAGTCTGGAAGAGTCGAGCAGGCCTAGCCGGACTCACAGGTTCCCTCCAAGGTCATCGTGCATGCCAGGGTGGCTCAGGCCTCTCGGCTCATAGGCATTTACAGAACCTGCTAGTCCAAAATAAGAATGAAAGATCCCTTTGATTCTTTAAAATGTTTTTTCCTGATTTTGTTTGTAAAATAATTCCCTTCGTTTTTGTTTTTGTAGGACACCAAATTGTGGATAATAATGGAGTATCTCGGGGGAGGCTCTGCACTAGATCTGGTAAGTACCATGTTGGTGCGTGATCCACACTGAAGCTTTCTTCCGTGAATCTTGTTTTTTTTTTTAAGGTAATTCTGTATTCACTTCTGTTTCCCACTTACAAGTTGTGTGTGAAAGGAACCATATACAATTGTTCCTTTTTTTTTTTTTCCTGCTTATGTATTACTGAAAATTACTGGCCTACTTTTGAAACCAGTTTTTTTGCTTTATGGGAAACAAATGTATTCTTTCATAGAAGCAATGAAGACATTTGCTTTCTTACCCAAGACTAGTCAGCTTATTTTCCAGAACTGGTTTTACTGACTTTTGAAGATACCCCCTCATTATCTTGTATTTCAGATGGGGGCTTAGCTTCTCAAATACACATGCAGTACGTCCAACTCAGAAACGTGAGACTGGGCGTGACCGTGTATTCCTGGTGTCAGGCGTTGGGGCCCACCTAGGCCACAGAGGAACACGCTTCTCCCACTTCCACCGTGTGCTGACGCCTGTGGGGCATTTGTGGTGGAGCTGGCCCAGCTCCGCTGTTCGTTTCTCCTCCTCTGGGCTCCCCCTGACTGCTGTGAACGAGGCTGGTCCTTCACCAGGTCCTACGGTGGAGGTTGGCTCAGACACAGTCTGCTGTCCGTGTGTGAGACACACGGTTTCATGTTGGGCTCACATGGCAGGCTCCTAAGTGACCAGAGTGTGGTGAGAGTGGCTTAAGTCCTCTTTGAAGCACAGTACAATATGCAGGGGGAGAAATTTTAAAAAAAGAAAAATTTCTAGAGAACTCACACAGTTACTTAGCGCTTGACTCTTGTCCGTACTGTGGTAAAATCAGTGTAATCAGCACTGTTTTCCTGTCCTTTCTGTAAAAGCTGGACATTTGGGTGAGTGGTGATTACAAGACAGGCTGACTCTCATTTTAGCATTAGCGATGGGTCTTGCCCGATAGCGTGTTGTCAGGGTGATGGGCCTGCAATGATTACTGCTGTCAAGGAAGCTGTGCTATCTAGTGGTTATAATCGACACGTTGTTTTCACTATGGAAAAAAATCCCTTTTAAGAAATTTCTTTCTCATAGTGATAGTAGAACTGGTAGTTTTATTGGAAGGCAAACTTTTTTTTTAAAGAATTATTTTATTTTACTTTATTTAATTTGACCAGAGAGGGATAGAGCAAGTGAACAAGAGAAAATAAGAAAGCAAGCCGCTAGGTCCAGGACTTGAACCACAGTCAGCCATGTAGGAATCTAGCACCCTTAGCCACTGTGCCACCTGCCCAGCCCTGGAAGGTAAACTTTTAAAACCATTATGTATCTCTAAGAGGTTAATGTATCCAGTTTACAGAATAAATGATATATGGTTATAGATCATAAAAGGCAATGGAAGAAAATGGTGTTAAAGAATATTCCAAGAAAAAGATTGAATACAGCATAAATAACTATATTAAAACAGAAAAAAAAAACAGCAAGAAAACAGCTGGATACATTCTATGACTTGCCTAGGTTCCTTCCCATAAATACATGTATTATGCAGAAATCTTTTCATTTTCCCCCTCTTTTAGGAAGTAAGACAGGACTGTAGAAGATGGCCTCACTTGGTGTAATTAGATTTGCTGTTATTTTAAATGAACCTGTGGCATACACAGAGTTGTAGCAGGGATCTTTTTTCAGACACTGACGCCTTCACAGTACTTCTAATGTCTAAGTACTCAAGAAGCTCAGTGAGTACAGGACAGCCACCCCTCACTTTACCACCGGTTGCTTAGTGACCACCTGGACTTTATGGCATCCGCTCGGTCTGTGTGAGTCTTGGGAACCCCCTCTGCCTCGGTCTCGCTTCTATAGTCTAGCGTGCACTAGAGGAAGTGTTCAGAGTCATGCAAGACTGCATTGTTGGTTTATACATTTGTCCTTTATTGTGCACCAAAATGTTGCAGCATTTAGAATGAGTAACAGCGATTACACTGGGTTTACATTATTGTTGTAGGGTTTCTCATCACTTCCTGGTGCTTATCTAACGTATGCTTTTTGTATGGACAGAATTACATTATTCTAGTGTGGGGTCCTTGATAGCTTTGAAAAATACATACACTATGGCGCCGGGACACACAGTAAGACATGTGCCTGTAAGCTCCTCTCTTACTGACCAGTTCACTTGATGATGCAGTTGTAGGAACGCAACACGGGAGTTAAGTGAGGCATGCCGTCATTGAATTTATTGGTGGTAACTGTCTTTGGAGCTTTGAGCAGAAGCCTGTGGAATTTTAGACACCACAGTGGAAAAGAACATAAAATGAAATGAGAATCCCAGCAAATGGCCATCCATTATTTGGATGGCCACTCTGCAATCCCTTCTCCATTCTTCTCTTGAGATTTTGGGCATGCATGCACATGTGCTCATTATGAGTTTTAAGTGCCAGGTCCAGGAGTCAAACCACAGTCAACTACATGGGAGTCCGGCAACATAACCATTATACCATCTGCAGGTCCCTGTGTTCCCCTTTCTTTAGTCTATATTGAGGTCACCCTACCGTATTACTTAGGCCATGGTACGGACATTCCTTTTATTCCTCTCATTCCGTGACACCATAGCTGGGACAGGAAGACTGCCTCTCCTTTTCACCCTAAGGTTGCCATTTGAGCATGTTTGATAGTGAATTTGAGGGTCTGTCTTTTAATTCCGGAATTGGGGTTCCCTGAGGAAGCAGACTGCAGGTTAGGGTGTGGGACAGAGATGGAGTTGCCAGGATGCTCACTCATGGGGAATGGCAGGTATTGTGAGGCAGGCAGGGGTCACAGTCTGTCTTCCTTCACATCCACACCACCGAGCAGAAGTAAGATGTGATCCTCCCTCCCTTCTCACAGGTTCACAGGTGGCACCTGCAGGTGAAGTGACTGTGCCCCAGATCAGAAATTGTTTGGCTTCCAAACTGGGATGCACATCCTGATCTTTCTACTGTGACGTGGTATATAAATAAACCTTGGGCCTTTATCAGGAAAAACGAAGGATGTAGCTCAGAACTCTGTTACTTCAAGGTTAGGGTGAACCTGGAGTTCCCTGGTTGGGGTGTGGGCCTCTGAGCTGGCAGAAGATAAGCCAACATGAGTAGAGGGTGTTTTCCTTAGTAACCCTCTCCTTTCCTGATGCTTTTTGACTTTTAAGAAAATGCAAACTTGTGATCCATTGTGAAAGAGAGACAGCAGAGCTCAGTTATGAAGAGCCATGAATATAAAGTATAAAATAGACATCTTTTATTTTGGATGCACATATTTGAGTGTGTTTAGTCTCTTGATTTTTTTTTTAAAGAGAAAATTAAATTGAAATGAAGCATTTGCAGGATCCCCAGGGCCACTCCGAAGAGATGCTGGGATCTTGGGAATATAGTTAAACTACTTATGTCAGAAATCTCACGGTCCAGCTGCCTCTAGGTCACCATGACTTAGGAAGCGTATGCCAAGTGGGACTCAGGCATGACAGCTCACCGGGGATTTTCCTCCAGAAGGTCTTGGTCACATGCCTGCCTTGTGCGGGCGCGGCTGTAGTGTGGAATTACTGCCGCGAGCCTCCTGCTCCACTGGCGCCATGTCCTGTTGGGGGGCACTCGGGGGCGTCACATGAGGGCAGTGACATCATCGCTGTAAGGAACGTGAGCAGCTCAGGTGGACTGGGGGTTGAGTGAGCCTGAGCCCCAGAGGGCCCGAGATGGAGCGGTATTAGCTGATTAAAAGATCAGCCCGTGCTGCCAGAGAGACTGAGGGACAACCCTGGAATCTAATTAAGAAGGAACTTGTGCCACAGAAATTGGTCACTTACCCAGGCAGCAATACTTGACAAGCTGAAAAATGAACGCTCGACATGTGGTTTACAGAACGAGATGGCGTGTTCATGGTCTAGGCAGGCCGTTGTCCACGTGGCTCCCGGCAGTGTCTCCCGCAGGTAGAGGTGGGGTGACTGTCATGTGCGGTCAGCGACTCTGGTCTGCACAGTCCCTGGGGCCCTGCCCTGCTGGGTGGCTTCCCATAGTCTGCAGTCATCGTCCCTTCAGCTGCTAGCGTGCAAGACTGGACCAGGAAGGGGCATGTGCGGGGCTTTGGAAGAGCGCACAGTCCTCTTACAGATGAGACAAAGGCCACCATGTTGATGCTGCCCAGGAGTGGTCACGATGGAGGATACTACTGTGTGACCTGGAAATGCAGCCTGGTCTGACCTGCTAAATGAGGGGCTCGGCGGGGAGGTGCTCTGGGATGCTAAGGACCCCCAGGAGAGCAGAGTGCCCCGCCACTTCCCGCATGGAGCAGGAGGAGAGCAGCATGCTGGGTGCTGTGGGGCCGGACGAGCACATCTGCGCACGTGCTGACCGCAGAGCCAGCGCCTTGTCCCCCCGAAGAGCTCCGGGTGGTTTTCCTCGTCTCGTCTCGCCTCGGAAGGGATGTGCAGGCGCTCTGCGGTTTCTCTCCAGAGACTTGACCGTGGAAAGGAGGGAGTCGAGCCCGTCTGGCCACACACTGCGGGTGGTCTGCATAGGTATGGACTTTCTGGAGGAGAGGAGGCGGACTGGACTCTGAGGCCCAAGTTTGAACAGCCGGACCCCGGACCCCCTTGCTGTGCTCTGGTGTGAACGAGGACATACTCCCGTGTCTCTGTCCTCCTCCCTTTGTTCCACCCATGGATGAGGAAAGTGTGCTTTCTTCATTTTAAACATTCAAATTTTTAAACCAGCCCTGTAGCACAGTGGTTAAGCTCTATGCCTGGGGAGCTGGTTCACACATGGCCACCCATAGTTCAAATCCTGGCCCTGCTCCTTGGAAAACACAGCAGGTACATATGCATGCCAGGGTCCTGATGGGACGGAGAAACAGAGGGAAAAGGATTGTGGTGCGTGCACGCCCCCTTGGAGGGAGGGGTTCTTTCTAATTCTCTCTCTGGTGAGCACACATATGTCCTCTAGCAGTTAAAAAAAATTAAAATTTCTGCCTTCTATGAACACTGAAAAATAGATGTGGAGAAAGCAGACTTACACGGCAGGGGTCTCCAGATTGTGCTCTTTGGACAGTAGTTTCAGTGTGTATTTCTTGAAAATAAGACTCTTGGTCAGATATCTTTGGGTCAAATTAGGTTCTGGGGAACAAGGTGTGTCCCGTGCTGTCTTAGCGGAGGTGATTTTTAGCAGTAACATTTGGGGTGTTTCCTCGCAGGCCAGCTGGATGTGGTGAGGGCTGTAGCTCTTCAGAACTAAGCCTTGTGTCTCTTTAGTCTTCCCACTAGACCCCAAATTGGCATTTTTTAGAGTAAAAAAGGATGCAGCACCAGGAAGAGGAGAAGGGGCTCCGAAGGGACATGAACCCTCCAAAGTCAGACTTCCCAGCATAATTAGGGTCACAGAAAAGCAGCCAGCACCTTCTCTGGTGCCTTGTTCTGTAAACAGGAGAGCCACACACTGGGTCCCAGCCAGGCCAGAGTATTAGTAGAGGTGGCCCTGTGAACGGCCTGATTTGAGGACTGTCAGGTAGCCGAGGGCGGCGGCCCTCGCGCTCTGCGGTTTCTCTCCAGAGACTTGACCGTGGAAAGGAGGGAGTCGAGCCCGTCTGGCCACACACTGCGGGTGGTCTGCATAGGTATGGACTTTCTGGAGGAGAGGAGGCGGACTGGACTCTGAGGCCCAAGTTTGAACAGCCGGACCCCGGACCCCCTTGCTGTGCTCTGGTGTGAACGAGGACATACTCCCGTGTCTCTGTCCTCCTCCCTTTGTTCCACCCATGGATGAGGAAAGTGTGCTTTCTTCATTTTAAACATTCAAATTTTTAAACCAGCCCTGTAGCACAGTGGTTAAGCTCTATGCCTGGGGAGCTGGTTCACACATGGCCACCCATAGTTCAAATCCTGGCCCTGCTCCTTGGAAAACACAGCAGGTACATATGCATGCCAGGGTCCTGATGGGACGGAGAAACAGAGGGAAAAGGATTGTGGTGCGTGCACGCCCCCTTGGAGGGAGGGGTTCTTTCTAATTCTCTCTCTGGTGAGCACACATATGTCCTCTAGCAGTTAAAAAAAATTAAAATTTCTGCCTTCTATGAACACTGAAAAATAGATGTGGAGAAAGCAGACTTACACGGCAGGGGTCTCCAGATTGTGCTCTTTGGACAGTAGTTTCAGTGTGTATTTCTTGAAAATAAGACTCTTGGTCAGATATCTTTGGGTCAAATTAGGTTCTGGGGAACAAGGTGTGTCCCGTGCTGTCTTAGCGGAGGTGATTTTTAGCAGTAACATTTGGGGTGTTTCCTCGCAGGCCAGCTGGATGTGGTGAGGGCTGTAGCTCTTCAGAACTAAGCCTTGTGTCTCTTTAGTCTTCCCACTAGACCCCAAATTGGCATTTTTTAGAGTAAAAAAGGATGCAGCACCAGGAAGAGGAGAAGGGGCTCCGAAGGGACATGAACCCTCCAAAGTCAGACTTCCCAGCATAATTAGGGTCACAGAAAAGCAGCCAGCACCTTCTCTGGTGCCTTGTTCTGTAAACAGGAGAGCCACACACTGGGTCCCAGCCAGGCCAGAGTATTAGTAGAGGTGGCCCTGTGAACGGCCTGATTTGAGGACTGTCAGGTAGCCGAGGGCGGCGGCCCTGTGGGTGGAGGCTGCACAGCTGGCGGAGAAGGCCCAGGGGGCGGTGCCAGGTGTGAGTTCAGCTGCGACTCACCCAGGTGTGGGTGACAAAGGAGGGGCCTCGTCTGCCTCCATAGTGGGTCCCACCAGCCCTTTGAGTTGGTGACATCCTGTGGAAGGGGCCAGGACGTACAGGGAGAACTGTCAAGGTCTGTCCAAGAAACATGCATGCTACCCTGCCTGAGAAGGAGGGCCTTAGTGTTCATTCACTGTGGTTTGAAAAAGTTATCTTTTTGAAACTTCATGAACCTCACAGGTCTGTCTTCCTGTTGGTGGAAGTATATGAATTTGGGTTATGATGTATTCCCTGTTGGTCTGATATGTTATATGGAAAATCATCATTAGGAGGAAAAAGTAAATTATTAGACTTCTGGGCCTTCTTTCCAGTAGTTTCATTGTTAGTCCTGTATGGGAGTAGGTCTTAGTCCATTTTCTGCTGCTGTAACAGAATGCCCGAGTCTGGGTGATTTGTGGAGAGTAGAGGCTTATCTGCTGTTTGTTCTGGAGGCTGGAAAGTCCAGGGTTGATGGCCAGCATCTGCTGAGGGCCTTTCCGCTGCATCCCACCGTGGTGGGGAGGTATCACATGGTGAGGTATCACATGGTGAGGTGTACGTGAAAGCAGCTGCAGAAGTGAGCCAAACTCACTTTCACGCCAACCTGTTCTGAAGAGAACTCAATCCCGAGGTCACCCAGTAACCCAGCGATGCATTCAGGAGGGCACAGAGCCTTCATGACCCAGTCATCTCTTAAAGGCCCAGCCCCTTCATGCTGTCATGTAAGTTCCCACATGGGAACTTTGGGGGGCGCATTCAGATCACAGCAGTGTTAGGTGGTTTCTGTGACACTGTATGCAGTTACCAGCTGCGGTAGCCCTTCCGGCCCTGCAGGAGATGCTGGACTTACTGTCTGATTTGAACCGAACTCTTCAGCCTGTCTTGTTCTTGCCTTTCCTTTTAAATGGAGGAATGCTTATGAGACATTTCTTTCCCACCTCATTATATAGTTTTGGATATTGAAGAGTCAGTAGTAACAGTTCCTTTGAGTATCTGAGAATAAAAGTTTTCAGAGGCAATTACTACTACCTTAGGGATAATATACCAAATAATCTTATCATAGAATATACGCAATATATAACAAATCCCAAATTATTGAATTATCAGTGCAGCTACATTCCCACAAGTTGGAGAGCTTTAAAATGAAGATTCGAGGGCCAGCTGGTGGCATGGTAGTTAAGGCATTGGATCCCCACATGGCCAACTGTGGTTGGGTCCTGGACCTGGTGGCTTAAAAATCACACTAGGCGTTGTTATTGCATGCATGCTCAGAATCCCCAAAGGAGAATAGCAGAGAAGGGATTGCATTATGGCCATCTTCTCTGGAGGGGCGATTTCTCCCTTTCCCTCTCAGTCGCTGTCCCTCTCCAGTGAGTATACACGCCCTATGGCAAAAACCTAAAAAAAAAGAAAAGAAAAGAAAAGAAAATGTATATATTTGAGAAAATCTGGTGCAGAGGTGGCCTTGGAGAGGCGCCAGAGCCTTGTCTTGATCACTTGTGTGTTCTGTCACCAGGGGTGAACCTTCTGTTAAGATACCCATGTATGTTAGGGATCTCAGGCTACTCCAGGGACCAGCGTGCCCTGCGAGTTTCTGGGCCTTTTGTTTCCTGGACTCACATTCCCCACAGGGCCCTCGCCCATCTGTGCCCGCCCTGCTGAGGTCGGCAGGGGACAGCGTGGCTGGACCTGGATTTTTCCAGTGGCCCGACTTCGATTCCTAGCTATTTGCTTCATCAGCAAAGCCATTTTCTTTGGTTCTTTGAGTTTATTTTTTAAGGGTCCTTGAATAGAATTTAACTGTTTTAGCAAAATTCCTGTTATAAAAGTGAAGAAGTTTTTAAATTTTTTACTATGCTCTCCACTTAACACAGATATCGTCTCTGTCTTACTATCGCAATCCGCGTGTACAATAATCAGCGTAAGTAACTTTGATCCTTTCTTTTCTTGGCAGTTAGAACCTGGCCCTTTAGATGAAACTCAGATCGCTACTATATTAAGAGAAATTCTGAAAGGACTTGATTATCTACATTCAGAGAAGAAAATCCACAGAGATATTAAAGGTAAGAAAACCTCTTCTTTTCATCTTTCAAACATACCTGAAGGGATAGAATTCCACCTTATTGTTTTGCTCAAGTGTCCTGCAACTTCAGTTTTCCTGGGGCGGGTGGGCTTCGAGGGTTGTCAACAGCAAGCATAGCTCGGTTCCGGTGCTTATTGGGCATGTGATATAGCCAGGGCGAGAACCTTCTGTGCTTGGTCCCAAAATGTCGGTGACAGTGGGCAATGTCTGGATGCATTCTTGGTTCTCTTGCAGCTGCCAACGTCCTGCTTTCTGAACACGGAGAGGTCAAGTTGGCCGACTTTGGCGTGGCAGGCCAGCTGACAGACACCCAGATCAAGAGGAACACCTTCGTGGGCACCCCTTTCTGGATGGCGCCTGAGGTCATTAAGCAGTCAGCCTATGACTCCAAGGTAAGGGCCGGCGCCTGCCATTTACTGGGAAGAGCTGGCACTCCCCCTTTGGACTTTGACCTCACTCCCCCTTTGGTCTTTGACCTTAAGCTTTTGTGGTTGGAAGGAAACCGGTGCCTTGAACTAGGTCATAAAGATGCCAGCTTTGATTAAAAGGAGTATCCTTGTCTATCTCCTGCTCTGTCACTGGATGCCCTTTTATTCAGCTCATCGCTGTGGAGATTTTAGCTTTGACAGTGTGTGTTTGCTGCTGGTGGGACACCAATAGGCGCATGTTGGAGGGTATGTGTGCAGAGGTGGAGGGTGGCCGTGCGGGGACAGAGGGACCATGGTGGCCAGCGTGGGCCTGGGAGGTGAGCAGTCGAAGCAGGTAGAGACATGGGTAGCAGAGAGGGTGGGAAGTGCCTGTGCAGGAGGAGGCTGAAGCCCACCTGCAGTGGATGGGTGGGTGGGGCTTGAACAGAACTGTTGTTGTTATCATCGTCATCATCATCGTTATTTTAAGTTTTTGCTATAGGGCGTGTGTGTTGACCAGAGAGAGAGAGGGGGGGGAGGGAGGGAGAGGGTAAATGAGAAATCACCTCCCAGAGGGGATGGCCATGCTGCAATTCCTTCTCCATTCTCCTTTTGGGATCTTGGGCACATATGCGCACATGCCTGGTGTGATTTTTAAGCCTCCGGGTCAGGAGCGTGAACAGCAGAGTCTGCCCTGTAGGATCAGTGCTTAACCATCACACCACCTGCTGGCCCTGGACAGGGCTTTCTCCAGAGTCTCAGGGGCAAGTCAAGAAAGAGGATGCCACAGGGGAAACAGCAAGCCCATCGGCATGCACGAGCAGGAGCGGGAGGAACGTGGCTCCGACGATTCTTGCTATCATATTATTTCTAGTTCTCAATTAGGGTCCTTTTCACAGAGGCTCCTTGCCAACATGAGACAAACTAGTGAGCCTTTCTTCCAGCTGCTTCCACTTGTCCTGTGTTATATTCCCTTCTTTTCCCTTGTGTTATTGTTTTTCCCTGTTGGCCTCCAGCTTTGGTAAGACTTTTCCTGTAGACTGAAATTCCTCGGGCCTCTGCCTCTAGTACCTCTGACTCGCCTTCCATTTCCTGCACTCTCTGTTTCTTAGTAGCTGTGCTCAGGGAAAACTCCACACAGACCACACAGAATTGACTTCCGGAGCCTTCCTTCCTTCCTTCCTTTCTTTCTTTTTTAAGAGTTTTTTGATATAGGGCACATGTACTCACCAGAGAGACAGAGTGAGACAGAGACAGAAAGTGAGCGGGGGGGGCACATGTGCTCACCAGAAAGGCAGAGAGAGACAGAGAGATAGAAAATGAGAAATCACCCCGCAAATCCCTTCTCCTCCATTCGCCTCTCGGGATCTTGGTCATCCTGGGGGTTGGCCACATTACAGTCCCTTCTCCTCCATTTGCCTCTCAGGAGTTTGGGTGTGCATGCACACACATGCAGTGTGAGTTTCAGGCCACTGGGTCTGGGACTTGAACTGCAGTCAACCACGTGGGAGTCTAGCAATGTAATTATCACGCCGTCTGCTGGGCCCAGGAGCCCACAATATCTAGGAAAGTAATCTTTAACTTGGATATGTTTATAGGTCAAACGTAACCCCCCCCCCCCCCCCCATGGGAATCTTCTCAGTTTCTTGTAACTTTTCCTCTTATTAAACACAGTCTGTGAAACATAGGGTCATTTTCTCTTGGGACCAAAGGTCACTGTCAGAATCCATTGGCTATTACCAAGTGTTGACACCATGGCTGTACTTGCAGGTGTGCCTGATTTTGGTGTAACGGGGGACATGGCTGTCCAATTGTTACATTGTAGCAGTGGCCATGACTTCCACGGACACCCTGATGGCCTTGCAGCTACTGGCTGGTTAGTGCCGGGTAGGTTTTCACCCCCATCTCCAAGGTGGCAGAGCTAGCTAGTCTGGGACATGTCAGTGTTTGTGTCTGTGAGTGATGGGTTCCCTCTGTGGCCACTTCTGGTTTCTGCAGCCACATTTGCTCTTGGCCCTTGTCATGGGGGCATATACTGGGTCATCAGAAAAGTCATCCCCCTTCCCTCACCCTCCCGGGAGATTTTTGCTATAGGGTGTGTATGCTCACCGGAGAGACAGTGAGAAATCACCCCCTAGGGGACGTTGGACATACCACAGTTCCTTCTCCTCTTGGGACTTTGGGCCTGCACACACACACACCTGGCAAGAGTTTTAGGCTGCTGAGTCTAGGACTTGAACTGCGGTTGACTATGTGGGAGTCCAGTGACCTACCATTACACCATCTGCTGGCCCCATCATGTTACATATGTGCATAGAAAAATATGTCATGACTTTTCCGACGACCCAGTAATTTTAGGAGTGGACAGAAACTTAGGTGTTAGTTCATATTCGTTATCTTGAACTGAGGCCCACTTGCCAAAGTTTTGGTAGGGCTGGGACAAGAATCCAAGTTTCCTTTCTCATCTGGTAACACCCCCCCCCATCATTCTCTTGTTCTTCATGGTAACTTTGATTGTCCATGAAGTGGGACTTGGAACTCGGATCTCGTATTTTTAGTTCTGCCATCCCTCACTTCAGAGTTCTTTTTTTGAGAGGTTTTTGTTACAGGGCCTGTGCGCTCACCAGAAAGACAGAGACAGAGCGATAGAAAGCAAGAAATCATCGGGGGCGGGGGTTGGCTACACCACAATCCCTTCTCCTCCATTCTCCTCTTGGGATCTTGGGCACGCACGCACATGTGCCCAGCGTGAGTTTAAGCCACTGGGTCTGGGACTTGAACCGTGGTCGGCTACATGGGAGTTCAGCGACATAGCCATCATGCTAATTGCTGATCACTCTTTTTCTTTTTTTTTTTCTTAAGAATTATTTTATTTAACTTTATTTATTTTAATTTGACCAGACAGGTCCAGACTAAGAGTGAGTGAGAGAAAGGTGGGGGAGAAGAGAGAGGGAAAGTGAGAAAATAAGCCACTAGGTCTGGGGCTCGAACCACAGTTGGCCATGTGGGAGTCTAGCGGCCTTAATCACCATGCCACCTGCTAGTCCCTACTTCAGAGTTGTTTTAGAGAGTTTTTCACCTGCCTGGGCTGTGCCCTCCACCTTTCTTCTAGTTGAGAGCCTCTCGCTGTCTGCTGGAATGGCTCCCAGCGGTGTTAGCTTGGCCAGCCTCCTCCCTGGAGCGCCTGTGAAGACCTGAGAGCGCCTGTCGGTGGATGTGTGGTCTTCCCGTCAGGTGGATGGAAGGTGCTGTTGTTTGTGCACAGGGTTGCTCGCGTGGGGAGGAGCTGGAGGGAAAGTGTGTCATGTTTTCTGTCAGCCTTTCGCCACTTCCCGTTGTTTGCTGGGATCACACCCAGCAGCTCTAGCTGGGATCCGAGTGCACAGAGCTTATGTGAATTGGCTATTCTGTTCCCTGACTCAGAAGGTGCGGTGGGTGCAGGTAGAGGGCAGCTGCTTCATGGCACCAAGGTTGCCAGAAGCAGGTTTTCAGGGGCCGCGGTCTTAGTGGTGGGATCACCCCCACCCAGTCAGCCATGGCTGTGGGCAGCTGCTCTGGTCCTAGCAGTGCCTGACAAAGAGGGCTTTTCCGAAGCTGTCATGTGGCATCCTTCCCGTGACCGGCTTGCCTGCCAGATGCTGCAGTGTCCTGTGACACTGACCCACTCTGCCGCTTCTCCATCCTCCCAGCCCTTCTTCCTTGGGTCTTCTTGCAGACCTCTTCCCACCAGCCTCTGCGTGGCAGGTGTGCTCTTCCACCCAGGGAAGGTGCAGGGTTCTGCGACGGTAGCTGAAAGAGCACGCAGCCAACAGCTTGTCTTGGGAGCAGGTGCCAGTTCTCGGGAAGGGCAGGTTGGGAAAGCAGTGGGGCACACCTTCCTCATGAGCCTCTGCACCTCACTGAATGCGAGCCAGTGTTGCACTCTGTTTTCTGGACATGTCTAGATCTTTGCCAGAATAATCTCTGGTGCTAAGTGCTCAGGTGGGCCTCATTGTCGCTGTTCTTAATCTGAGCACAGAATCCCTGAGTCCTTCATTGCCCACGTGTCTTAGGAATCCTCATGGTTATTCATATCTTCAGGGTGGTTTAAGCAAGCTTGGTTTGTTGCAAGAAGTCCCCAAACTTGGGAGTCAGTGCCAAGGGAAGTAACTTCTGCAAAGAATCCCTCTAATTTTGACACTGGAGGGAGGGCTTGGGTTGAAGAACTTGAAGTTTTTTTCTTTATAAGGTTATTGTGATGTCAGGTCCGAAAATGGGTTGGGGCTAGGTAAAGACATTGTCCCCTTTCCTTTCTCTGTCCCATCTGGTCCCTCAGTCGGCTGTGGACTGCGGTTGTACCCTGTGCCGTGCTGAGATATGTCCATCTTCTGAAAGTCAGTACAGTAACCATGGAGTGGGTGGCCAGGAGAGCCCAGGGAGGGGAAGTCGGGAGCTAGGAGACAGCGCATAGGTGGGGTTTTCATCCAAGACGGGGCAAGGCTGTTCAGACCGAGAACAGCGTGTTCAGGGGATGGGGTGTCGGCAGTGGAGTCGTCCCTGTTGGATTACGGGTTATGGTGAAGATGCAGTAGGCAAGGAGGCGGGAGACTTCCTGGCTGTAACTCAGGAGTCAGCCTAGAGACACCCAGAGGCCAGCTTGCCTGTTTCTTGTAAATAACTTGAAGGTTTTTGGCTGCATAAGCTGTACACGCATGTGTACTCATGGTAGTCTGGAAGATACCAGGGAAAGAAATGGGAAGGGAAGAAGAACGTCTGTAGACCTGCTACCCAGGCCAAGTTCTTCTGGTGTCCAGTCATCTCTAAAATGATTGTAGTCTGGCCGTAGTGAAAGTGGAAACAGGAACGCATTGGTGGGAGAAAATAACAGCGTTTGAGATGAGTGAAAATGTGTGTGATCAGCCAGGGGTTGCTGGGGTGGCCGTGTTAGCCTGCCTGCTGCGCGCGTGACAGACTGTCCCATCAAGGGTGCCAAGGCCATGCCCGTCCATCCTCCTGCTCCCTCTCCATGGAATCAGGTGTTAGCCATGCTCCAGCCAGGGTGACGAGCCCTGGAGGTGGCGGGGAGGGGTGTGAGCTGGGAGCCAGCTGACTACGAACCGGTTGTTTGAGCAAGCCTATGTCAGGGCCATTCTGGTCAGCGTGTGTTGCTCTTGGTGCTCGCCGAAGTCTTTCCAACCTCTCGAGGCCATCGGCATGTGTGCACCTAATTGCTGCGTGCCATTAAGTAGCTGCTGTTCAGTTCCTTTTTGTCTTGGACTCGTTTGATTGTAATTGATCTGCAGTCATTCATGACGTGCTTCTTTCTGTTGATTACAGAGAATTCTTCTAGAATTCTTTTCTATCCGTAAGTGTTTCTGTCACCTAAATCGTGTTGTGTCTCTGACCCTGTAGCCAGCCCGCTCTACTCACCATAGCACAAGGAGGCGCTAGGATGGCGTTGGCGGTTGTGGTCACCTCCCTCCCGGTTGAGGAGAGTAATGGATCATCCCATGTGCTCACTCCAGGCCTGAACCTGGAAGTGTCCATCTGGGACACCATCTGTCCACAGAGATTCAAAGCCTCTCTGCCACTTGTGTCTTGAGTTTCTATTAAAAACTACTCTTCATTTTCTCTGTCACCAGTTTCGTAACATTTAATTTGATCTCTCTCTCTGAAATGTCAGGAAAATGGGTCTCTTCTTCTGCCTCCTTTGTAATGGCTTCGGGAGATGCAGACTCCCTCCCCTCACTGGCATTGACACCCAGACACACTCCAGTCAGGTGCCGCATTGCCTGATGCAGTGGTGGACAGGCTCGGCCCCATTAGTAGGTTTCTGCTTCAGGCTGTGTTGCTGCTGAAGGAAGTTAGTGGCTTTTGGATATTTGGGTAGCGTTTACCATTTCCGAATTGAAAGTTTATTTGGGATAGATTCCTAGAAGTGGAATTCATTGGTTTTAATAAATTTGGGTGGTTTTGTGGCTTTTGATCCGCGTCCCGAACTGCTTGCCATTTCTTCAAGTGCCAGGCTGGGTTTCCTCATCATCAGGAGGGCGTGAGAGGTCTCGGGGAGGGGAGGGACTTGCGTGCCAGAGAACCGTAGGAGCCCCCTCAGAAGTCCTGGGACTGTAGTCCTGCCCTCAGCCACGGCAGGAGGTGGGAGTGGACACAGCTCCGAGTGCTTAGGAGCCACCACCAGGCACCTGGCTGGGTTCAGGACAGTGAGCCCGGGGTCCTGGCCCGGCTGCCTGGGAGGATGGCCCACACTGGGCTAGATGATGTCAGACGGGCTGCCCCGGGGAAGCTGGATGGGAGATGCCCGGCTGGCAGGAGATTTCTCAGCCGTCTGCAGTTGGCACGTGTTGGCATGTGGCATCAGGTGCCGCGCCTCAGGTACTTGCTGCCCATCTGCTTGTTTCTGGCCCTGAGCCTGAAGCGAGTCCCCGGGCCTCAGGCCTCCAAGGGAATCCGTGCACGCACACACACTGACACTGACAACAAACACAGTTTCTGCTTGGGCCAGCCCTCATGAAGTTGTGTAACTGTGGGGTGCACGGGGTGGGGAGACGTGTCTGTGAGAACGTGTGGATGGGGATCTGGGTCTCTACGGCCAGGAGGCAGCCCCCTTTGCAGACAGCAGCAGCTCTGAAGAATTCTCAGGGCTGGGGTAGGCAGACAGCCTGGGATCCTGCAGAGCTTGGGAGGAACCTGTTGAGTAAGACACGCCGTCCTGTGCGGGTCCCCGGGTCACATCTGTCTCTGCTGCTCTGGGAGCTCCTCCTCCCTCAGTGTCCCGCTTACACTCCTTCCTGCGTGCCTACCCGCAGCCCGCTCCCATGCACCTACCTTCCCTCCAAGGGGCCAGGGACTCGAATGAACCACGTTTGTGCTGATTTTTAAAGTCATGTGTGTGCAAATTATTGGGTCATCGGAAAAGTCATGACACATTTTTCATAGAAAAACTTAGAAAAATATGTCATGACTTTTTCTGACTACCAAATAAAGAATTTCAAGTTGTAGAGTGCAGTTAAAATAGGACTATTATTCCTACCTTATACCATGCCTTCTAGACTCCCTCCACTTTTTTTTTTTCTTTCTAAAGTTTTTTTGCTATAGTGCTTGTGTACTCACCGAGACAGAGAGAGAGAGACAGAGATTGGGAAAGTGATAAATCACCCCACCCCACCCCCACCCCCCCGGGAGGATGGCCATGCCACCATCCCTTCCCTTAGTCTCCGATTAAGATTTTGGGCATGAATGCACATGTACCTGGTGTGATTTTTCAAACCAGTAGATTTGGGACTCAAACTGCAGTGAGCTCTATGGGATCCAGTGCCTTAATCTCCATACTTGCTAGCCTCTCTTGTTTTAAAATTTTCTAGAAGGGCATGTGTGTTTCCCAGATAGAATTGTGGGGGGTGAGTATCCCCCATGGGCAAAGGTCATACCACAGTCTCTCCTTCTCCCCCCTTTTTTGGGAGAGCCTGGTGGGTTTCTCAAGGTACTGGGTCCAGAACTTGAACCAAGCAGTTGGTCTTGTGGGATCTTGCCTTGTCCACCTCCACGTCATGAGCTGGCCCTAGACTGATCCCTTTGGTATAAGAATTTAGTACAAAGAACTTAGAACAAGTCTCATTGACAGCATGTCCCCATCTTTGCTGAGAACAGAAGGTAGTGGAACTCGCGGTCGCAGCTGGGCTGGGTGTGCTTGTCAGAAGGATTCTTGGTGCTCTCTGGGGTTGCAGCAATGTGGCAGGTGAGTCTTCTCCATGCTGTCACAGGCCGGCATGTGCCCGAGTCCTGCATTCACCTGAATGGAGCGTTAAGGCCTTTTTTTTAATAGCTGTTTTTGGTATAGACCACATGCCCTTGGGATAGAGAGAGACAGAGCGAATGAGAACAGTCCCCTCACTGGGTGGGAAGGATGGCCATGTCGCAATCCCTTCTCCTTCGGTTTCCTCTCAGGATTTTGGGTATGCATGTACCCACCGCTGGCATAATTTTTAAGCCACTAGGGGTGGGACTCAAAACACACGGTTGGCCATGTAGGACCCAGCACCCTAACCTCTGTGCTACCGGCTCCCCCATTTTCTTGCTGCAGAGTGAGTGCGAGAGATCGAGCAGGGTCTGCCTCAAGTGCTCAGAATAACAGTGCGCCACGACAAGGGCAGAGACTTGCCCCTCGTCTTTGCCAGTCTGTAGTCTGGCTTTACTTTCGGCCTCCATTTCATTCTCGCGGGGTTGGTCCAGCATTCCTCTCAGGCCGCTCTGCTCTTTTCCCCATGTTACACTAAGTCCAGGATCTCAGCCAGGCCCCTCGCTCAGCAGTTGTGGCCACAGCACTTGCTTGGCAGCAGGGGTCAGACAGCTGGGCACAGGGCTCCCCAGTACGGGCCACTGGTTCCTGCCAGCAGGGGGTCTGCGCCTCTAGGACTGATGAACTACAGGACATGGGACAGGGAGGACAGGAACTAGGGAAACACACTGAATGACAGCAGGAAGAAACCACCACACAGATCCAGGGTTCAAGAGCTACAGCTTCAGCCGATGGCCCTGGGCAGATAGGGAGCGGCTGCTGACGCAACGGTGCAGCGAGACATGTTGAGCCTGTTTGGATCCTGTTCAGATGAATCAGTCATTGACAGTCATTTTTGGAACAGTTGATAAAATGTAATTATTACATGAAGTGAAGGAACTATTACTAATTTTAGGTGTCGATGTGTAGTCAGAAGTCCTTATGTTAGCACATGGGAGAACTCAGGGGAAAAGGTCACAGCAGCTGTGACTGACTTTAAAATATACTATGGCAACCACAGACAAACCCCGTAGGGTAAAGTACTAATTAGTATATCCATGTAATGGGCAGATGGAGGTGCATTACAATCGTAATGTCCACTTTTGTGTATTTTTGTGATAGACATTTAGAAAAATTTCTGGATGCTGTGTAATGCATTTTGCACAGCCACGATCCCCACTGCACCACTTTGCAGATGGGCAACGAGGTTCAGAGGTCCAGTTTTGTCTGATGTTGCAGGACTGCAGAACCAGAGTTTAACCCGAAGGCTCTGAGACCGAGGTGCACGCTCTGACCTCCAAGCTGGTCTGAGTTCAAGCATTGCATGAGGGGGCCACTCGCCAGTACGCCTCCATTTCTGACCTGCCTTGGTGTTCTTATCTCTGGAATCTTTCCCAGACCTCCAGGACCCCACTGTGAGTCCTGAACCGACTGGCAGTTAGGGCACTGGGGTGCAGCCGCTTTCAGTGCAGAAGCAGAAGGTTGTATATATATTAAGTTCTCTTCTGTAACCTATCAGTATTTTGAAATGATACTGTGGGCTTATTATTATATTTTTAAACAATCAGTTGAAAGTAATTACCTTTTCAAAGACTTGGAAATAGACTGAGGCATCGTATTGAGTGAAAGTCCTCTGTCAGCTCGTCTGGTAGCTACAGTTGCAGCCTCCAGCAGGTACCACCTGCCCGGCTCCCCAGGGGCCTCCTGGTCAGGGGTGGATTGTGAGCCGGGCTCCAGCCACACAACTGCAGTGTGACAGGGTAAGAGTTCTAGTACCTAGAGGTCCCTGGAGGTACCCGACCACACACACAGATTCCAGGAAGTCCAGGCAAGGAGAAAGAAGGGCGTGTGACAGCTAGTGGGACAGATGGGGAATAGGGATAGGTCACTTTAAGCTCACAGGCAAACATCTGAATGGTCTGTTAAAGGAAAAGAGGAGACAGTCCCTCAGTTCTTATCGCTGGCCACCAGCTGGAGCCATTTGGGTGTGGTATGGAATTGGAAACTCTGTCAAAGGTGACAGAGCCTTGTTTCTGTCATGACCAAGTTAAGCTTATGCTTAAAAATGAATTCCGGAAAAAAAGAAGTCCAAGAACCCTCTCCAGACTTACTGCCATTCTTCCCAGGAGTGTGTATTCTGACTCACGCACTTTCTCGTTGCAGGCAGACATCTGGTCCCTGGGCATAACAGCTATAGAACTCGCAAAAGGGGAGCCACCGCATTCCGAGCTGCACCCCATGAAAGTTTTGTTCCTCATTCCAAAGAACAACCCCCCGACGCTGGAAGGCAACTACAGCAAGCCCCTCAAGGAGTTCGTGGAGGCCTGTTTGAATAAAGAGCCGAGCTTCGTAAGTGTCCCGGGCTCCCAGCACGAGCTCCTCATGTGCAGCCTGAAGCGGCTTAGCTACCGCCTATTGGCATTTCTTTCATCCCTGCTACCCCATGAGGTCTTCATGATCTCATTAATTTTTCTTTTTCCAGAGGAGTATGATTGATATCTTTGAACTGCAAATACATTTTTATTGTTATTTTATTTTATTAAGTAATACTAAATCTTTTAGATTTTCTAGCATCTGATAACTCATTGAGCCTGAAGAGCATTGTTATTAATATTTATGATGAGACTTGAACAAGGTTGTGGAAAAAGAGAAAGTACAAGTTTGTACAGTGCATAAAGATAGGAAATCGGTGCAGTTTGTTTGTTTTTAATAGCATGTATTTTCAAGAGACTTTTTTTTTTTTTTTTTTTTTTAAGTTTTTCTATTGAGCATGTGGGCTCCCTGGACAGGGGAGAGAAATCACCCCCTGTGGGGATGGCCACACTACGGTCTTTTCTCCCCAGGGAGTTTTGAGCATACACGCACATACCACCCTTTTCAAGACACCAGGTCCAGGATTTGAACCATGCAGTCCACCATGTAGGATTCCAGCCACTTTAACCTCCGCCACCTGCCAACCCCCAGTGAACCTTTTTCAATTGTTGGAGAGACGAAGCACCCCCCTACGGGGCATGGTCATAACACCATCCATTTTTCCTCCATTTCTCCTTGCTGCCAGGATGTGGGCACGCATACACCCCGTGTATCTTTCATGCAGGGACTGGGCTTCGAGCTGCAGCTGGCTGTGTGGGATCTGCTTCCCTAGGCATAGAGCTTACCCACTGCACCGGAGGCTGGTCATCCCTACAAGTTTCTGGAGTTCATGGAACTTTTCCATGAACTTTCTCAAATCGCCCTATACGTGGAATCATCCATTTTTAATATTTGTAGGGGACGATCAGGCTATAAACTGTTACTCTGCTTTTAGTAATGGCAGAGGCTAGCCTGAAAAATAGTGGCAAAGTGTTATTAAATGTTTTCAGTTTTTAGATGGCCTGTGTTCGGAAATGAAAGACAAATGAGCCACCCACTGTGCCTTCCCTCTGCCTTCCGGCTTCCTCTATGTTTACTTGACTGACTGAGCCATCTCAGTGATGACTGCGGAGCCTTAGCTTTCTTCCCTGTTAGGACGTGTCTTTGAAAGGTGTCTGTGTTCTGGGGTATTGTGTGTAGTCCAGTTGTCCTTGGTTTGTTTCTGAGTTTTCCAGTAGTTAGCTCAAAGCCAAGCTGAACACCCTCCCTCCCCCCCTTTTTTAAAATCAACTCTTACCTAAAAATGGATGATTAGTTTTACGGAAGTGCCATGGTTTTCTGTTGGGTCATCGGGAGAAGTCATGACACATTTTTGCATAGAAAAATACGTCATGATTTTTCTGACAACCCAATCATATGGTGCCAGTTCTGGCTAAGGAGTTAAACAGGGTAAGCAGCGTTTTCTAAGCATCTTTGAGGTCCGTAGCCTGGCATCACCAAGTCAGTGTTTAGTTAGTGTGCCAGGCACCTGGTGATGGCGGTCGGGTTGTTCTGCGCACACGGCACTGTTTTCTGTCATGTTTGTTCTGGCCACACCACACCAGCACTTAGGAAGCTACACCCTGGGGTGCACCTCCTCCCATTAGAACACATATCTAGCATCGGCTCGTTCCCCAGTACACTTGTTCCCACACCTGCCTCAACCTTAGACCTACAGAGAAGGAGAAGCTGAGAGTACAAGCTCTTCTGAGACACTCGGAGTTTCCCAACCCCGGGAACAAGGGAGGGAGAGAGACCGGAGGTGGCCCAGCTTCCTCATGGGTTTGGATTTGAGAAGCTTGCCTAGCTTGAGCAGTTGGGAGTAAGTGGGAGCTTCCTCTGCCTTCTCGTCGCCTTTCTGCATCCTCGTTCTGTCCTAGTATGGGTTCTTGGGAGCGTGCTCCCTGGAATTGGGCCTGCTGTCCCCAGGGGCAAGCCATTGTCCGACGTCAGTGTGTTGAAGGCTGTGCACTGCCGAGCCCAAGGTGTGGGCAAAATGCTGAGCTCAGTCAAGGGAAAGGAGCCCTGGAGAACAAGCCTCTGGAAACCGGAACACTGACCAGGAGAGCCAGGCCCTTCCATGCTCCTTCAGGTGCCTTCAGGCGAGCCTGGATTCACATACTGATTTTATTATTTTGGGGCATGTAGCCAAACATTGTATAGAACTTGAATAAAATAACCCAGAGTGTATGTCGTCTTCTCAGCACGTGCACAAAGTGCTCTGTAAAACCAGGACCCTAGAAGCTCTCTTACTTGATCCCCGGAAAGCTCTTTGCACAGTCTTCTCCGGAAAGGTGTTTCGTGGGGGTGTTCTCTGGCTTCCATTGTCCACTCACCTGGAAAATGTTGGGGCCCCGTTGCAGTACCCGGAGTCCTAGTCGCAGGCACCGAGTGAGTAGCTGTCGAAGAGTCTCAGGGAAAGCATTATGACATAGAACTCGATCTTACATGTCAGTGTGGCGGTTTGGCACTTTGAGGCAGAAGTCTGCCCCTTGGAGTGAAGAACAAACTTCATGTCATTCTTACCGATGTTGTGTGTGTTTTCCAGAGACCCACTGCCAAGGAGTTACTGAAGCACAAGTTCATAATACGCAACGCAAAGAAGACGTCCTACCTGACCGAGCTCATCGACAGGTACAAGCGGTGGAAGGCTGAGCAGAGCCACGACGACTCCAGCTCCGAGGATTCCGATGCGTGAGTCGGCTGCACCCAAGCACCGCGGGTGCCCAGGGGACCTGTGGGGCCTTGCCTCTTGTCTAGGTGCCTGGTTGGTTGGTTTTCGCTAATCCAGGGTGAGGACGAGTGTGTGGGGCACGCGTGGGCCTGTTTGGGAGCGGTAGGCTCGTGGTGTAGGCAGTAGGTCTTTGAGTGAGATTCGTCTGGTGGATCTCTGTGTCCATGGAGAACTTGACCTGGTTCCTTTTTCTTCATTCTACTTCCTGCTCTTAAAATACTCAGTGGATGACATGGCTCTAAATATATTTAGAGAAGATGTAAGTGCGTGTTTTTGGGTTCCGTGTTGTGTCCTGGTCGTGCAGGGTCTGTACCAGGAAGTGACTGCCTGGACACAGTGTCCCGGGCTGCAGAGGTGAGGTGGGGAACAGAGCCATTCTCGAGTGGTCGTTGGAGCCGTGAGAATGACCGTGTCCTGCAGAGTGAGGTGCAGCGGAGAAGAGACCTCAGCCAGCCCAGGGAAGGCAGTGTGTGCGAAGCCTGTGAGCTGGCTGAGGAGGGGTGGCCCCCAGAGTGGTAGGAGAGGCAGGACCCAGACTGGATAGGTGCTCTCCAACCTGGTAATGTGGGCCTGGGAGTATACTGTGGGTCTTGGAGAGAGGAGAAGGTAACTACAGAGATAGTGAGTGGAGACAGCACATCAGGAACTGTGGTGTGGAGTCAGGGTCACGGCCAGGGTGTGGCTGCCTGAGGTGAGGAGAGGAAGGCGGTGTCAGGGTCTCTAGGGAGGAGCTGATGCTGAGTGAGGACAGCTCTGGGTCCACCCGGGGCAGGGGCCATCCAGGAGCAGAGCCACCTCTGCTGTGTTGGAGGCAGAGTTGGAGGCCGTCTGGTGTGGAGCGCTGGTAGGGTGGCACGTCCTGGGAACCACGTCCTGATGGGCCTTTCTCTGGGTCATGGAGGCAGGGCCATCTCTAGAAGATCCCAGAGGGACGGGACTGGGGTGTGGCGGGTGGGGTGGGGAGGATCGGGCGTAGCTGTGGGGCAGGTGGGGTCATCAGGGTCTTGTGCGGGCAGCTGTGTGCTGGCTGGATGGGGGCTGGGTGAGAGCCAGGCGGGAGCCGGGCACGTGTGATGGTGGGACTTGTGGCTTCCTTGTGTAGGGAGACAGATGGCCAGGCATCCGGAGGCAGTGACTCCGGGGACTGGATCTTCACAATTCGAGAAAAAGACCCCAAGAATCTCGAGAACGGAGCTCTTCAGCCATCAAATTTAGAAAGAAATAAGGTAACATATATTTGCTTGTTCTAGAATAACTGACACTGTCATTGGTCAGTGGCATTTTTGATCAGTTGTGGCCAAAGCGTGGTGTCGGGGGTGGGCGGGCCGTCCCCATGCAGTGTGTTGGGGAATTGACTGATCAAGAGATTTGGCTCTGAGCCGTCATGCTGAGACACAGACCTGGGAATCTGGACTCAGTCTGATCTGTGGAGCTACGGTCTGCTCTCTTTAGATCCACTGTCATGTCACGACGACCTGCCGCTCGGCCGCGAGGTGGGCTGGCGGGGCAGAGCTGGTCACGAAACTGGGTCCGTCCTGCATGTTGGGGTCACTCACATCACAGGTTGTAATTTTGTGACCGAGTTTGCTTTAAGAACCTTAAAAATGAATGTATTTGCTTTGGGTGCTTACACAGAACTTCATTTCAGTTGGTTTATGGCTGGGTATGGTTTTTAAAGCCCAGTGGTGGGATTCCTTTCAGGCGACGTGGGCCAGTGGCTGACCCCGGAGGGCCCCACAAGTCCTGCATTGAAAAGCGGTTAGCAGTTCAGCTAGAGGTGGCCCGGGTAGAAGACAGGCCTGTCACGTGCCAGCCACTTTCAGCAGCCAGCACAGTCTGCCTTGCGCTTCCTCGGTGTCATTAATGAAGGGCGTCCGTGCGCGGACAGCGTGGCGGTGTGATTCGCCCGTGCACTTCCTCTTCCTACTCCTCACGTGCCTGTCTTCGCGGAATCAGACCCTGCTCAGACCCTGCTCTCCCCGCAGCGCGGGCTTGGTCGTCACTGAAGCGAAAGGCCACATGCAGTGAACAGAGAGTGGGTGGTGTGATTGGTCTGGGTGCTTTGATAACCCAGACCCGAAGCTCACTGAGTCATTGCCGACGTGAATGGTAATTAGCTCTCATTACCTTTTGCTTTTTCTCCCCCAAGATGAAAGACATCCCAAAGAGGCCTTTCTCTCAGTGTTTATCTACTATTATCTCTCCGCTATTTGCAGAGGTAAGACGCCTGGCTGACTTTGGGGGAGCATTGGGAGGGGAGGAGGGCAGGAGGAGGAGCTGGGCACTGCCTAGGGCTGTTGCCACTGGGGGTTGTACCTTACAACAAGCTGGCAGAAGCAGGTTCTGGCAGTCCCCCACCTGCTCCTGGAGGGCCCCCTCTTCCCCTGGAGATGCCTGTCATGGCAGAGCCTGGGGTGTGTAGGCCATTGGGATCCACCCAAGCCCGTGTGTTGTCAGAACTGTCTTGAGCTTCTCCTGTGCGGTTTTCTACAGCACCTGCTGGGTGAACCCCAGTCTGTCTCACAGACGAATTTTTGGCAGTGTCTAAAGTGGGATTTCAGTTCAGGAGATGTTGGAGTCCCCCGTCTTCATGCTTCCCTGAGCCATTGTATTTAACCATGACCCCGCTCTCTAGGCGCACGCTGATTGCATTGCCGGCCAGACTGGCGTGCATCGCAGGTGAGCTGGTCTGGCTCTGCCTCCGTGGCCAGGGTGGACTCCTGTGCTTCCCCACAGAGGAACCCTTGCCTCCTGCAGAACCTCTGGGTGTATACTGCATTGGCCGGATTTCCAAGAGGAGGTTTTATGTGAGCAGCCATCATCCCTTGTCTGGTTAATGGCTGACGTGAATAGCAGTGGGAACTACCCCCCAATCCCTGCTCATCTTCCGTGTCCCCTTCCTGGCCCGGCCGCCTTAAAGAAGGTCATAGTGAGAGGCCACCCACTCCTTTGCCATGTGCCGAGCCAGACCTCCGTGGGGGGGCTGTGCCAGCGTCCTTGTCCTTGAGGTTGGAAGTCTGAGGAAGGAAGGAAGTCAGGGTGACCCAGTGGGTGAGCGTGGCTGGCCAGCCCCATGGAGCTGGGCGGTGCTGTGACCCACACCAGCGCCCCGCAAGCTCGTGGTTGTGCCCGTGTGCATCATGCCGTTCTTCATGCCCGTGTGTTTGCAGCTGAAGGAGAAGAGCCAGGCGTGTGGCGGCAACATGGGGCCCATAGAGGAGCTGCGGGGGGCCATCTACCTGGCGGAGGAGGCGTGCCCCGGCATCTCGGACACCATGGTGGCCCAGCTGGTGCAGCGACTCCAGAGGTAACCGCCGCCTCTCCAAGAAGGCCCTGGGCTTCATAGGCAGGGGAGACATCGTGGAACTCACACTTGTCAGTGTTCCCAGAACTCAGTTTGTCAGTCAGGTCCTTCTTACCTGTTTCCGTTACTGTTCAGGCCTCACGATTGAATCGAGTTAGAGAAGGCTTTTGTTCTGAATCATAAAACAACATGGGGACCAGCAGGTGGTGTGGTGGTTAGGGTGCTGGACTGCCAGTGGCACCCACATTTCGAGTCCCGGACCTGGTAGCTTGCTTGCTCTCGCTCCTGCTCCCACTCTCGCTCTTTCTCGCTGTCTCTCTGTAAAGCGCACATGCCCTATAGCAAATTTAATAATAATAAATGAAATTAAATAATTCTTTTTAAAAAAGTCAATATGACTGAATGGTACCGACCTGGAACCCTGGACGGACCCAGAACTTGCCATGGAAGTACAGGGTGACTTGTAGATACTCACGGTCGTCGTGCGGCCTCATTATCAGCCAGAGAAGTGTAGGCTTTAGCCAGCTGTGTGTAACTGTTCTGTTTGGGCTTTAAAGGCAGGTGTCCAAAAGTGGCCCAGGCTCTGGCTCAGTGAGTTGGAGGTGGGTGCAGGCACCTCCTCTTTCTTGGTTGGCCTCAGTCCTTGGCTGTGTAGAAGATCCTCACTCTCCGGAGCACCAGGTGTGTCAGGTGCCAGGCTGAGGCGGCCCTCCCAGGGATGGCCTGGCCTTGATGACAGGTGACAGCCTCTGCAGATCTTTTCTGAGGTTGCTGTGTGACAGCATGTGAAGAAGATTTGGACGTGTGAGGTCACGTGCCATTTGGAAGCATGATTTGAAGGGACCGGTCTGGCCACTGTCCTGTGAAGAGCCCTCTTAAGTGGGGACATTCAGAGAAAACCCCGGGTCTGGCCCTTCAGGTTTCTTCTCTTGAACTCAGGTCTCTCAGTGAAAGATATATGAGCATTTTAAATTGCTCTAGGATGAGGATAGAAAATAATTGTTTCTTGGCTGCCTCAGTTTGGAGGCAATGGAAGGAATCAGTGACCCTCTTGTGATTTCTCCCACCCACTCAATCCTGAAGGTAAGGAAACAGGCCCTGGGAATAAAGGGAAATAGAGGAGGCAGCTGGCTGCCGCGCGTGCGCCCACCCACTGTGCTTTCTCAGACTCGGCCTTCCAGCCGCGATGATTTCTCAGTAAAGAGGAAAGTCTTACAATAGAGCAGGTAAGACCGAACCAGAGAGCAGTAGTAGATTGTCATCTTGCTTTGGGTTTGGTTTTCTGCCTTTGCTGTCACTTTCAGGACGGACACTGTGGTGCTGAGAATTTCCCGAAGCGTGACGAGGGATGTACGTGCGACTTGGTTTCCCCTCGTCTCCTCCCGCGCATAGTTAGCTGTTGCTGGTTTCCCATTCCAGGGTCCCCTTCCTGCTCGGTTCCCTCCTTCAGTTCTCATGCAAGGCGACCAGTGTCAGCCCTGTGTGGTAGATGGTGTCGTGAGCCAGAATTAAAAATCCTCTGGTAGCTGTATTAAAATAAGTAAAAGGTAGCAAGTGGAATTAGTTTTAATAGTACAACCGGCTACATCTGGAGTATCGTTTCATGACGCATTAGTCTGAACAGTTATCAGCAAGGCGTTTTCCACCCATTTTCTGCACCGAGTCTTTGCAATGCCGTGTTTATTCTGCCCCTGGCAGCACAGCTCCGTGCAGACTCAGCCCGTCAGGCACTTGGTAGGAGCGTGTGGCCAGTGTTACCGCTGTCCCCTCCCGCAGGCCTGTGACTCCAACGTCTCTGTTTCAGACGCTGCATCCCAGTGATATATTAGCCAGCGGGGCTGTGTTCTTTCTCTTCCTTGTCTCATGACTCTTCTCGCTCGTTTTTCCTCCCCGAGACAAGCGCTCCCTCCTCTGTCATCCGATGACTTGGCTGCCGGGGTTTTTATCTGTCCCTATAGGCTTGACTGCATCCACCCTTGTCTTCCTTCGAAGCCTTTACTAACTGTCCACCACCCACGCCGGAACCATGGAGGCCACTGCTGCTTTCACTTACTAGGATTTTTGGTTTAGTTTTTCCATGAGCCAGAGATGGCATGTGCGTGCATGTGTGCGCGCACACACACACACACACTCTCTCTCTCTCTCTCTCTCTCTCTTTACCTGGAAAGGGTCCTGACTCCATGGCCCACCCCCAGCATCTGCCCGCCCTGGCTCGTGGGCACACCTGTGCCACCGTACTCAGGGAGGGCTCCAGATGTGAACCGGGAGCCTCCCCACGTAGACTGCCTTGCAGAGCGTCGCCCTCTGGCCCCCGTACAGTTTACTTCCCAGACATGTTTGTTACTTCAGTGGATCGTAAGAAAACAGCGAGGACTGACTTGTCCAGGGCACGTTGAAAGCCTTACTGTCAATTAGCCTTGCTTAATTCAGGTTAATGTTTGGACCCTCCTGTTTGCCGTCAGGTCATGCCGTGGTTTAGTCACCTGTATCTCTTGAAATTTGAGTCTTAGCCTCTGTGGCTAAAGCGTACTCCTACCATGGTCTGATGGAACACTTGTTCTCTCGGAGGGGAGTACAGACGCCCTCACTTGTAATGGTTCAACCTAATGATTTTGTTTGCTTGTTTGTTTGTTTTTTTAATAGAGATTTTTGTGCTGGATCACCACAGAAACAGACAGAAAATGAGAAATGACCCCCAGGGGGATGGCCACACTGCAGTCCCTTCTTCATTCTCCTCTCAGGATTTTGGGCACACATGCACGAGCACCCAGCATGAGTTTTAAGCCGCTGGGTCCAGGATTCACATCGCAGTTGGCTACGTGGGAGTCCAGCAGTGTAGCCATTACGCCATCCCCAGCTTAATGTTTTTTTGATTCAGCAGTGATGCTAAAGGGAGGGATGTGTATTCAGTAGACACTGCTCGTAGCACCTATGCAGCCATTCTGTTTCTGCTTTCATTAGCGTAGTCAATCGATTACATGAGATATTTAACACCTCACTGTAAAACAGGCTTTGTGTTAGTGGCATTGCCCCGCCGTGGGCCAGTGGCAGTGGACCGGGCTAGGCTGCACTGTTCTGTAGTTAGATATTCAGTGTGTTTTTTTAACTTACGGTGGGTTTTATTTGGGTATAACCCAGTTGTAAGTCAAGGAGTATCTGTATTTTAAGTGTGTTAAAATAGAAAGTCTAGCTAGAACCCCGTCAGCCATATGGTGGTTAAGGTGGCTGGATTCCACGTGGCCAAGGCCAACGGTGCAATTCGAGTCCCGACCCTGTGACTTGAACAACACTGCCTGGTGCGCGTGTGTCCAAAATCCCAAGAGGAAAGTAGAGGAGAAGGGATTTTCACCCTCTGCCTAGGGAGGACGCGTTCTCTCTCTCTCTCTGTGGTAAGTGCAGGTCACCTCTAGCAAATTACAGAAAGAGGGTCCAGGTTGGAATAGTTGAAGTCAGTCCCATTAAATAGCATCCTCAGCTACCTCAGGGCCCTCTGACTGGGCGTCGGTTTTAGGGTGTCTGAGGGAATCTTAGATGTGCCCCTGTTCTGGTCTTTGTATTCTAAAGCAAGATAGTCGTGTAACGTTTTTGGTGAAGGAATTACCTACAGTTCTACCATTGTAGCCTAATACCTTCATCATCTTCTAATGTGTTGGTTTCCATTGTTCCGTGCAGTTTCTAAGCTTCACCGTTTTCTGTCATGCCTGCAGATTTTGGTGCACTGAGTTTTAGACCTTCTGGGGCACTGAGGGTACAGAAAATTGTGCGTGAGAGCTATACATGTGCAGTGCACATCGCTGTGTGCTTCTTAACTTAATATGCTCTCATTTGTTCAAGGGTAGGTGGTTATCATTTTTAATCTCTTATTTCATTCTGTGTGCATTTGTTGTTATTGCCAGAGGGCACGTGCACTGGCCAGAAACAGGGAGAAAGCACCCCCGATGAGGTGTATCACCCTGCAGTCCCTTCTCCGTTTCTCCACCCCGTTGCAAGTTTGGGCATGCACATACCCGTGTGTGCTGTGTCTTTCCAGTTGCTGGTGGCTGAGATTTGAACCTCAGTCAACTGTGTGGGTCTGGTTCCCTTATCTAGGCCATAGGGCCTGGCCAAGTTTGCATAATTTCCTTGTTTCTCTACTCTCGGGCATTGAAGTTGTTTCCAAAGTATTATAATTACAAAAACTCCTAAGAGATTATCTTTGTGTAAACACATTGTTCCTCCTCTGAACCACCTTTCTGAAATAATTTTTTGGGGTTGCTCAGACTAAGTAATTGTGGCCAAAATGGATTTCCTGCAGCCAGTATTCATATCAGCTGTGTGTTTGCTTCTCTGGAATCTCTATGTCATTGGGTGTTATCGAGTTCCAGTTTTCAGAAATCGATTCTAAGTAAAGGAATATTTATTTTTCTTTTTTTTGGGAGAGGTTTGTGCTATAGGGCGCATGTGCTCGGCAGAAAGACAGAGAGAGACATAGAGACAGGAAGTGAGAGATCACCCCCCAGGGGGGATGGCCATGCCGCAATCCCATCTCCTCCATTCTCCTCTCAGGATCTGGGCATGCATGCACCAGCGCCCGGCATGAGTTTAAGCCACTGGATCCGGGACTCGAACCGCAGTCGACCATATGGGAGTCCAGTAACATAGCCATTACACTAACTGCTGGTCCCAAGGAGTATTTATTTACATCTCTCTAAGGGATGCTGATCACATTTTCTTTTTGTTATCCACTGTGGAGTGTTTGTGCTGGGATCATGGTTTTCTTCATCTCGATGAGTTCTTCCTATAATAAATTTAGTCACCCATTGATATTTGCTCCACTTATTTGCTTCTCAAGAATTATTTATCCTTATTATTATTTTTTAATTTGCTATAGGGCATGCACACTTACCAGAAAGAGACAGAGGGAAAGTGAGAAAACAAGTTGCCAGGTCCAGGACTTGAACCGCTGTTGGTCATGTGGGAGTCCAGCACCTCAACCACCATGCCACCTCATGGCCCTCCCTACTTACTTATTCTTTTAATGTTTTGTGATCTCCTATGAAAACTGAGACTGGTTATGATTTGAGTTTTTATGAGGGAGTTGAGAGAAATGACATTCAATTCTCTTTCTTCTGTTTTTTTCTAGATACTCTCTGAGTGGTGGAGGAACTTCATCCCACTGAAACCCCTTTGGCATTTGGGGTTTTGTTTCTCCCTTTTCTTCTCCATCCTCCTTCTTTCTAAAAGTCAACGAGAGCCTCTGCTGTCTCCGCTGAGGAGGCGCCATCGAGGGGCCGTCTTCCCGCTCCAGGGACGTCGGTGCAGGGACACACACGGCCCTCGCTGTGCCGCAGCCAGATGAAGTCTCAGATGGGGGGGAGGGTCGGCTCCTTCAGGCTATCGTTTTATTTTTATTATTCTTGTTTTTAATTTTAACCATAGTGCACATATTCAAGGAAAGTGTCTTTAAAAACAAAAACAAACCCTGAAATGTATATTTGGGATTACGATAAGGCAACTAAAGACGTGAAAACCTCAGGTATCCTGCTTTAAGTTGATAACTCCCCCGGGAGCCGGTGACTCGCTCTGGTGGATTGGTGTACAGACTTGTAAATAGTGTCATTTTTACGGAAACCCTCTCGGCGTGCGTAAGGAATCACTGTGTACAAATTGGCCAAGTGCTTCTGTAGATAATGTCAGTGGAGTAAATATTCGACAGGCCATAACTTGAGTCTATTGCCTTGCCTTTATTACGTGGAAACTGAATTACGTGACCAGTGATTTGGGTTTTCTTTTGTATTTGCAGGGTTTGCCATTAATAATAATCAGCACCCCTCTGACGGAACACTCCTGTTTGTACCTCAGCAAATACACATTTTCCTCATTTGCCCCCTGGCCCTTTTGGTACACTTAGAAGTTGATTTCCCTTTTCATTGATGGTACTATTTCTTAATGTTTTAAATCGGAACATATCTTGCCTCATGAAGCTTTAAATTATCCTCTTAGGTTTCTCCCGGCCAAAGCGCCCCCATCTCACCTTTGGAGTCGTGCCACTGCCGACCTGCCCACTCGTGCCGTCCTTGCCCACACGATTTTCTGTTGCACCTTGTGGTAGAATCTGCGTATCATCTTTCCCACCCAAAAGTGTCTGAATGCTTCCACGAATAAATTTTATAACACACGTATTTGGCATACTCTCCTTGCAGCGTGACTGCAGAAAGCAGAGCACCTGTGGTGTACGCGTGAGCGCGAAGGGGCGCGGGGAGCGGGGCTGCAGATTGCCAATTTGTCAAATCGCTTTACCTCTTGCTGGGAGCCATGAGGGTTGTCGTCTTAGAGGAGCCTGCATCCACTGGCGCTGCCAGCCGCGGTGCCCGTTTTCTTCTTGGTTTGACAAGGGGGGGGGATAATCTCTGGGTTTTTTATTCGTTGATGTTCATTATTGTCACGTCTTCCCCAAGTACCAGTTCTCAAGGAGGAAGATGGATTCCTGGGAGCAAGGGAGTGACTGGGGGGGCCTCTGGGATGTGAGTTCAGCTGTTGGTCAGCCGCAAATTACAGGGAGGACAGAGGCCTGAGCGTGAGACGTTCGAATGGGTCGTTATTGTTTAGATTTGTTAATAGAATCTAGTTTTCAAATCCTTAAATCATATTTTAGTAGACGTGGATATGGGTTGAACTGTTCATTTCTAGAAGAGACATTTTGGTCAGGGAACTAGAACTGAATTGCTAATTCTGATTGTACGCTTACTCTGCAGCAGGGATGTTACCTTGAAAAATAAAATTTGAGAACATTTCATTTTGTGTTCTAGAGAGTATTCTGTCTGAGGACTGTTTGTTTCCTTATGTGAGGCCTGAGCCCCAGGTCAGCATTGGCCGTTGCAGGAGGAAGAATCAAAGGAGTGAATCCATATTCCCGTCTGTCGCTTGTCTGGATTTGAGTCAGTATAGACAGCAGTTTGGGATTTACATAACTGTTGTCTGTGGACAGCGACATCAGGATTCTGATGCAAAAAGCCCGTCTCCACTGCCCTGGCCATGCTGTGGGGCAGGCCGGGTTCTAAGGCAGCACATTGGTGCCAATGGCTTGTGGGTTCTCTGCAATCCTGGATTGTTCCTGGAGGAGATTCAGTTTGACTGGATTTTAAAAGCGGATCACCACCTCAAGCCAGCCAGGTCGGGCGATGGTGAAGGCAGCAGGTGGGTCTCACGTGACCACACAGTTGGAGTCCTGGACCCAGCAGCTTGAAAAACACGGCAGGCCTGTGTGCCCAAAATCCCAACAGGAGAATGGAGAAGAGATTGCAGCAGAGTGGCCTCCCCCCGCCCCCCATGAGGTGCTTTCTCATTTTCCTTCCCTCTCTGGCCAGTGCACGCCCCGTAACAAAAAAAGACACAAGTGGATCACCTGTGCCGTCTCTCCTGAGTGGGTTATTTCTGTGGACACAATCGGCTGAGATGTTCTTAAGGGCGTCCTTGTTCAGCCACGGCACTGGCGTGTATGAATCCCTTCCAGCCCCTTGGCGCAGAGCTGTAGGGAACCCACCTCAGGCAGCGAACACTTGCTGGTCTTTAGCCAGACCTGTGTGCTCGGTCCAGACAGATTGACTGGCACTGGGAATCTCAGGGCTAGCCTGAGCCGTTCGCAGCCCATTTGCCTGGAGATGGCCAAGCGGGGACTGCGGTCTGGGGTGGACTGTGCAGGACAGCAGGGCCAGGGGGAGCAGGCCCGAGGCCGCTGGCTGTGCTGTGTGCCTTTTCCCAATCATCTGAGCCCCAGCTAGCTGCCCTGAGGAGAGGGCGGCCACCAGTGTGGTCAGGGCACCTGGCAGCCCAGAGCTGGGCTGTTAACATGGATTATCAAGTGCCCCCATCTTCCAAATTCTAACTTCTCTGTTCTTGAGCCACTTTTGTGAAGTGTCTGGTTTGCTGCTTTCCGAAGTGTTTTATGCCTTTGGCAAAGCGTGTGCACGTGGTGAGTTTGTCAGCATTTTTCAGTCCCTGAGATACGTGGCTGCCGAGTTTCTGTGAGGACACGTGGCCAAGGTGGACTGCTGTGGACAGTGTCTTCAGGAGGGCCGCCCAGGCTCCCAGACAGGAATCAGGCCTGCAGTTTGTCTCATGGACAGAGGTGTCCCTGAAACTCCACTGCTCTTGGGGGCATGGGCATGGACTAAGCGTCCCATTGCTTAGTTTTCCTCGGAGTCCAGGGGAAATGGATGAGCACAGCAGGACCAGGAGCGTGGGCAGTCCTGTCCTCAGCAACAGTGAGGGCGTACTAGTCCCCAGGGCTGCCTGAGTGTCGTGCCAAGTGACCGCTGGGGCATTTCCCGATCACCCTCTGCCATCTTAGCTGCCGGGTGATGGGTCTCCTGCCTTGGGAAATGGGAGAAGCTTCTGTCCCAAGGCTCCTCTCCATGTGGGGGAGTAGAAGGCAGCCCCTCCCGGCCCCTCTGCTCACCTAGTGGGTATTTACTCCTCCTAAGAGCTGCCACGGACCATATGCTAGAAAGTGCCATCTCCCCAAACATGTCGCTTTTCTTAGTCCGGGTCCTGTTTCCCTTTCAGGTCCACCTTTAGTGACCAGCCCCCACCTCCCTCACCTGCAGAGAGGCTGCTGGTAGCTCAGACCCTGCCCCCCCTCCCACCTGATGAAAATAAAGACAAGAGACAAAATCGTTTTTGCCTTAAAACTTGAATATGCTGGATTGTGGCGTGAGGTATTTTTATTCCCTTTCGTTAGTATTTAAAACCACCCGGTACATATTGTAAGGCAAGTGATGGACACGTCTCAGGCTGTTGGTCCATTTGCACACCGTTTCCATATGCACCGGGCCCAGGCCACGGGGTGGGGTGTCCCAGGTGCTCGAGTGAGTAGGCCTTCCCAGCCATGGTGCAGGGCACTGGAGGGGACAGCCCCGTGGGATCGGCCACTGCCACCTCTGGACCAGTTCAGACTTGCGTTAGAAAGGGCTTAAGAATACTAAGGGAGTAGCAGCCACCCTGGTCACCGCAGCGAGCAGGCGAGTTTCCAACTACGGGCCCCAGCGGTTGTCGGAAGCCGTGTTCCCCGCGTCGTCCGACTGCCTGGAGGTGCAGCGACATCCTGTCAGTACCCCAGGCCCGGGGGTGGGGGAGGTGAGTGTAAAAAAGTAACTTGTTGGAGACAGGCACGATATATACGACTAGGGACTGCGCAGTGTCAAACCACAGCTGCGGGAGGGGACAGGTAAACGGGCCCTGGGGACTATGTACCATCGCCTTACAGCGCTCCGCGCCAGGGAAGCTCGCGAGACTCCGTCACGGCCCCGGCTAACGACATACAGGTTCTCATGCTTGTGACACAGACAGACACCACAGCTCACTAGCTCCCCACGTACACACCACTCACAGTACAGTGACAGCCCAGGTATTGCACTGGATTTCTGCTCGTCCTAACAGAGAAGAACCCGCCCCAGCTCGCAAATAGTCATCGCTTCAACGATTTGGTCAGCTTGTGCCGAGAAGTCTGGTAACGAGGGTCTGGTTGGCGCGTGGGACCCCGAGTGGAACGCACTGTGCTGCACGTCGCGGATCGATCCAAGTGAGTCCTACTAACTGCCTATTATAAAAGTAGAAAGGTTGAAAAAAACGAAATCCAAAAGTGATCTCATTTGCTTAAGACCGCGCCATGTGTATTGCAAATGCCGGAAAATCCATTTTTTTAAAACACAGCAGCCTCTCTCGATTATCGATGAAAAGAAAAGTTTGTTTTCTTCTTCTTTGTTTTTTTTTTTTTTTTTTTTTAAGAAAAAGAGGCCTTGCCCTGTCGGTTGAATGGATATCTATACTGCCTTTAAGGTGCTGTTGTGGAGGAAAAAATGTCATTTGGCACTCTATCGATGACAGTGTTTTTAATACTGGCACTAGCTAAAGAACAGCCCCCAAGAAAATTAGAGCCACACCCCCTCGGGGGGGGCGGGGAGGGAGGCTGGCGCACTTCCGTTCAGATGAGAAATTAACAGCTGAAAAGACAAGGATAAAAAATGCTCTGCGGAGACAGGTGGAGACAGGTGAGGCTGCCGTGACACCAGGGTTTTGTTTTCAGACAGGTGTTAACTTCCCCAGGCTTCCTTAATACAGAGGAAAGGAAGTGTCTTCCAGGAAAGCCACCTCTCCGGAACAACCCAGACACCTGGCTGTCAGTACACATGTGACTCTTTGTGGCTCAGCACGTGGCCCCGGGAGGCAGAGCTGGTGGCACTTCGGATCACCTCCATCCACCTAAAAAAGAAGAAGGTGGCATCGTGACCTGGGATCACGCAGAAACCCACGTCTTGGGCCGGCCAGGTGGTGGTGGTGAAGGTGGCTTGGTCCCACGTGGTCACGTGTGCAGTTCGAGTCCTAGACCTGACACCTTGGAAAGTGTGCTGGGCACATGCGCATGCTTGCCCAGAACTCTGAGAGGAGAGTGGAGACGGGATGATGGTGTGGCCATCTCCCTGGGGGATACTTTCTCACCTTCCCTCTCTGTATCTCTGGCATAAACAGAAACACCATGTCCTGACACCTGGCAGTCACTACTTATAAACAGCGTGATGTGGCATTGACTGGTCTGTACTCTGGCACTTGAGTGTTCAGGTCTAGGACCACCCAGGCAGAGGGTTCCTCCGGTTGGTCTGAGGAACACAGCTTGAGAACTGTGGCCCACGTTCTTAGGGAGTGAGAATTTCCCCCAATGGCATGTGGGGAACCGCTGCCCCGGTGATCAGCAGAGGCCACATGCTCCATTTTGAGCAGCAAAGAGGAAATGGCTGGATGTTGGGGAGGGCTCATTCATGCCCAGTCTCCACAGGCACTGCAGGGCACAAGGGGTATATCTGGCCTGCTCAGTGGGAGCTCTGTCTCACACACTTAAACCAGTGGGTTTCAGTTGCAAACCATGTTATTCCTGGGGCATGGTCACTAAGCATCTGCAGCCGTTCCTGGCTGCACCACTGAGGGGGTGCCACCGGCATCTAGGGTGGAGGCCAGCATGCCACTAAGTTTCATACGCTGCACGGCACAACTGCCACCAGCCCCTGAACTTTCTGGTTCATAATGTGTCTAGCACTGCGGTTGACAAACCTGGCTATGCCACATTTCCGGCCGGTCAAGGAGTGCCTGCCTGCATTTAGAAATGCCATCACAGGGCTCGCAGCGTCTTGAGGCTGGCCTTCCCCTGCTACAGGGACATTCCAACTAAGATAAATCTGGCTCTTAGGTCAGGTCAGCTCCATCCAAGTTTCTCAGTCCAGGATTACATTGGGGAATTGCTGTCCTCTAGGCTCGTTTTTCAAGCAGTGTTGCTTAGGAACTACTAATTTTGGATGCTGTGGGAGTTAAAACGGTTTTAAAAGCACTGTGTTTTGGGGCCTGCAGGTGGCGTGGAGGTTAAGGCACTGGATCCCACATGGCTGACTCTGGTTTGAGTCCTGGACCTGTAGCTGGAAAAAATCACCAGGTGCGTGTGTGCTTCCCAAATCCCACAAGCACAGATGCCCTAAGGCAGAACAAATTGAAAAAGATAAAGCACCGTGCACTGTCCATGGGATTCACCAGGACTGTGCAGTTTGTCACTGTCCCCTCAAGTTAGACACCGTGTGGAGGTCAGTAGCAGGGAGGGAATAAGTCACTCCCCTGTCCAATATCATGGCCGGGGAACAAGTTTCTCCCTAAGCGGGACCTGACTGCTGTGTGTGGTCCCCTAACTGGTGGCTCCCGCCTTGTCTGGCCTCTGGCCAGCAGCTTCCTGCCCCCAAGTGGTGGGCCACATCGAAGGCCACCAGCACAGGCCCAGAATTTCTATTTGAAGCATGAATTTGAGGATCAGCCTCCAGCCAGGGGTCATCCCTGCGTGCCTGGCTCCTCCTCCTTCTCTTTGCTGAATAACTGAAGAGACGGCCCAGGGTCTCCACCTAGGTAGGCCCTCCAGTAAGGTAACTTACCCTCAGAGCTGAGTTTTCTCCTACTCTAATGGTCCTTTGACCTGAAATCGTTGCCTCTGACCATCGCCCCGTCGGGAATGTTAGGATTGAATATCTGCTGCAGTCACAGGGAAGAACCTTTTGGTTCTGGCCACGGAGGTGGGCGCCCTCGCCCGCTGCCCTGCGCAGACTGCACCTGGCCTTGCGACAGGGCCCGCGTTAGAGGTTAGAGAGTGAGGCATCTGGGAGAGCAAATGCCCCAGGTGAAGGCCTGACGTCGCCACCCGTTCCCGTGGGATAGGGGTGATCGCAGGCACCAGGCGCAGGGACCCCGGTTCTTATTAAGCCATTTCCTTGCTGGTGTGGGAGAAACCGCGGTGGTCGGGGAGTGTCCTCTTCCTGCT